ATACTTGTTACGTTCTATATAAATTAAGTCAATAATTTAAAGTTATTGAAGATGTTCAACTTTCTGCAAAATAAGATCACGATCAAACGGAACCTTCACCTGTTGAATCAATGTCCCAATGTCCATACAATTATTTCCTTGCGAACACCAAGTCCAATAGACTTGTTATATTTTTCAGATACTCAGCAGGCAAATTACTCAAAGAAAGTTGCTTCCTTACCCATCCATCCAACAATGAATTATGCAGCCATTGAACAGAGCCCACCATGCAAGGGTCGTGTGTTCACCTCGAGGAAAACCGGTCCATGTGAAACATATCAGCAACAGCACCACGGGAATCATATTGACAGGATCTTCAATGTCTTCTACGAAATATTTTGCTGTTTCTAACACTTTGGATGAATTGAAATCCATCTTCTAAATTCTGACGAGCACAAAAAAGTCCGCCAAATTTCCTTTGATTGAACCGAGTCTGCGCGTCTTCATTCTTGCGTGACCAGATCGCGTGACTTCAGCTAGAAACTAACGAACACACCTATCGAAACTTTGACTACTGAGCAAACCACATATCAAGTGAAATACAAATCACTAAATTTCCATCAAACTGCTTTATCAAAAAGTTTCAAACAAGGTATACTTCATTTCTTTTGTGTATAGAAGCGATATACGGACTATTAAAGTCAGGTTTTTCATTGTGCAAAACTACGGTCTTTCTACAGCTTGAAGCAGCTCGGAGGCAACAGAAGCAGCAAAAATAAACCATACAGGGGCTTGGATGGCCCATAGGAAAACCCTGACGTGGCTCCTCTAACACTTATTTCTAGTCCGCTCACGAATAATTTCACCTCTTCGAATTTATTTCTTTTTTCCAACTTTCAAAGTAAAAGTAAGCGAATTACCTTTCAACAAAGCCATGACAGTGAGCAATATCACCTTACTTTTAACTACTCCGAACGCGATGATCAATAACGGAACACTATTAACCTCTGATGACCACTTCTGTTCAGTTCGTCCAAACAAACCAAACTGAGTTTATTTCACCGGAAATAGTCAGACTTACTTTACCCGGACCACCACACTACTCGATCGGGGTGGGGAGAGGAAGGCAGGGGGATAGAGGTTCGTTTGAAACGGATTACGAAATATTCCACGTATCTGGACCTACGTTTTATCTGAGGGAGAATCACAACCTATAAATCCTTTTAATAAATTAACAAATTGTAAAGCTTTATATCAAATCTAGTTAACAATAGATGTATTCAACGCTGGGACGTACTTCTACAGAGTTAACAATAGAGAGTTTTAGCACCGCGTTTACATGAAACGTGTGGAGGCGCGGTGGCCTCATGGTTGGTGTGCTCGACTCCGGATCAAGTGGTCCGGGTTCGAGCCCCGGTCGAGACATTATGTTGTGTTCTTAAGCAAGACACTTTACTCTCACAGTGCCTCTCTTCACCCAGGTGTATAAATGGGTACCGGCGAATTTAATGCTGGGGGGGTAACCCTGCGATGGACTGGCATCCCATCCAGGGGGGAGTAGAAATACTCCTAGTCGCTTCATGCTACAGAAACCGGAGTTAAGCACCGGCCTAATGGGCCACTAGGCTCTTAAACAGACTTTACCTTACATGAAACGTGAACCGCAAAGGGTGACCACGTGACCTTGTTTTTCTCACCATTTTTTCACGTTTCCCGGTTACGCTTTACCGTTTCAGCGTGAAAGCAACCTGTTTCGCCTTTGCCTTGTACGTAAGATTTTCTTCACTTTTGCCCTCACAAAGTAGAAGTTAATTTCCGGAAAAAGGGGCATCAACACCATTACTTGTAAGTCATACAAGGGCACCATCAAATCCACTATGACGCGACCCACCATGACGCCACCTCACGCCAAGCTAAAGCAGTAAGGTTCACGCTATTTTACGTGAAACGTGAAAGGGCAAGCTGGCGTTTGTCGTTTCACGTCAACGCAAAGCTAAATCTCTCTAATAGATATCTTCAACGCGGGGACGTACTTATACAGAAAACTTCCTACCAACTGCGCGATTACTATGTATTGATGACCAGAAAAAAAAAAAAAAATTCAATTTGTGAGAATGCTTGTAAACAACGTACTGCATTGCTTTATTATTCTTGGCTAAATTCTTTGTTAACCTAACGTAAATATTTACAACTGACACTAATGTTACAAATAAACAAATACATGAGTACCTAAAACTTACTTCACCGTTTATAAGACTTCCTTGTTCGTTTTGTTCACAGCGACTTCTTCAAATAAAGGCACATAGTCATTTTCAGTTTACTTAAATCTGCCTTATTGACCAAGTCTGAGCACTCAAGCGGCCAAAATCTCGCGCAAGGTATCTTCTCCGCGGAATAAAATGCAAGATAAATAAAAGAGGAGGCTACTATGCAGCCATCTTTAGCGAACTAATTTGATCAGCAAAGGTTTTGATTACCCAACAGAATTTCAAAATAAACGAAAGAAACTGATTTTATCAGTTTTCTCAAAAATTTTTCTTAGTTTTTGCTTTGCGACTTAAGATAATGTGTTTTGTGACCCCACTGTTGTAAGAACTGCTTGGGAAACCTCGCCAATTACTGGAGCCACCCGTGTGAAGATTACCGACTATTGACTAAATACCTATGGCGCCATTAACATTTGAAAAGCTCTCTCCTTGATGAATACTTCAAACCAAGTCTAATGCTAAAAGCTTAAGTCTCAAAAACCTTCAGTGAGTCTCACTTTGCTCATATTAACTAAAGGAGACGTTTTCTGGATAAGAAGCCAGCTCAAAGCTACTGCAACCCGTGCAACCGTCCATACGCCTCATATGTTTCCAACCCAACCGATCAGGAATAAGCACGAATTTTGACAGCTGTCAGTTCGTCGCTATGGAGAATCGTCGCGGTAACTGACTAAAATCTCAACTGACAGATTCTAGAGCCAGTCTTTTCCAGGAATAGTCACCCGGTTGATTACACCTCGTAAAGGACTGCGCCGGTTGGAGTCCAAAATAATTATTTTCGTAGCCGTTTTTCGATATTGTCTCTCAAAGGAAGTCATCACCTTTTTAGACTAGGCGATCGCAAAATTTTCTTATGTCCATTCTAAATACAGTAGTATCACACAGTCTTCTGGGTTATTTTCACCTCACTGCTGAACTGTCGGTACCAGTCTACTCGGAAAGGTCGCACCAGACCGCAAAGATTCATGTTTGTAAAGTCTGCAATATTTCCGAGAAGACCACGACTGAAAGAAAAAGTTAAAAAATTCAGCGAAGTTTAGGAAAGAGAATACATAAGCCTACAGTGCACGAAAAACAATTTATTATTCGACGGTTTGAGTTATATACGCGTCTATACCACCTGTGCTGAAGTCGCATTTTTCAAAATTTCTCTTCCTTGCCCAGATCGTAATTCTTAGGTCAAGAACGACTAAATTGTGAAACAAATAGACCCGCGATCAAAGCAACAATAAACAAAAGACTGTGTTCCAGTTACCTGAATGGACTCTGGGGCATTCCTTTGTCGTCGCTAAAGTGAGCATACCTCGACATGTTCAAGCGTTCATTCGTCGTCATTGCCAACCAGAAGATCTTAAAACAAAATTTCTAAGTTTTAACTTCATATTGAAATATTCAACATTGAAATCAGTCCATCTTGAACACTCCATATTTCAGAGTTTCCTAAGGTCAAAGAGGGACCCTGGGAACGAGGTTGTTGTATCCACAGTTTCTCCGAGCAATCTTGTGATATACACGGATGCCTTTCTTCAAGTCCAACAATCACACTCAGCACGCAGGCGAAATATTTTGGAATCGTACCAAGTCCAGACTCCTAAAAAATTCCATAGCTCAGAAATTTTCACCCTCTACCAACAACAAAAATCTCATCACACTTGGGCCCGTAATAATGACTTGTATTTCTCCTGAATCACAAAAAATAAAGGAAAAGATCGCCAACTAAAGCAGCTCTAAATTGTCCTTTTTACAGTTGTGGGCTTGGTGGCCAAGCCTTTTGAACAGGAGTGAGGCTATGGGTGACCATGTTATGATACAGATGTTGCTGCTTTTCAAATGCAAATTTCTTTGTTATCATGCTAACTAGATACTGGTCTCTATCACAACAATGTCACCCTCAGCCTCACTTCATATCAAAGGCTTGGCGACTAAGTACACAACTGTAAGATGGTCTATTGTTAAACAAATTCTCCTTGCCAGCATCTTGGGAAATTTATATTGGGGTGTTAAGGGTTAATATCGCCTATAAGAAATGTGTTCACGCCAGGAGCCAGTCATACCTGGTAACATTGACAGAAAAACAAAGCGCCCACCCACATCACATGAAACAGGGCGTTGGCATAACCCCACGTGATCCAAGGTGCACAGCGTGTGCTTTGAGTAACGGCTTTCCAGATTCCATCCTGGTAGGGACCACAAGCTTTAACAAAATCTGAAAAAAGTACACTTGCTGGTTGAAAAAAAGCTGGCACAAATTGTTTTTAACGCTAAAGGAAAAATGCAAACAGTGAATCAATTCTTGAGAGTTTTAATTTAACTAAAGTACAAGACACTTACAAACGGTTCCTCCATAAATGTACCAGAGAATCATACCAAACAGGAAAAACAGGTACCCAAAAAAGTACAGATGGTTACCAACACCTGTTTGGAACCAATAAAACAAAACTATCAAGTCCAACGTAATATCGCACACTTGCGATTGTCGGTTACAGTCAAGGTTTCTTGTTCCAAGGATATTTTAAACTGAAGCCTAAATAATAATCTTCATGGCGTTTACTTACCAACACAATTCTCTACCCAGGGACAGTGATGATCAAACTTTGCTACACAGCGTTCACAAACGGAACAATGTTTTGATCGGACAGGTTTTCGTAACTGTAAGAGTAACAACACAGTCCGTTAATCAACAAGTAACATAAACCTATAGACCCTTTTTTTAAAATGGTAAGCAAAATGAATGAATAATCGTTAGGAAAAGAACCCTCAAAGAAGTACATGGTAATGAAAATGTCAAGTTAATACAACTTTAAAATGAGGCAACCAAATTCATGGCACTTCTTAAATATGCGTGTACCATCTCATTTCTAACTCACACTCGTAGACTATCAACTGTTCCCTACACTAACTTCACTAACTTCAAAAAACTTAGGTAAGTTTCAAGTGAATCTGCATCTCCTCGTCCCAATCTCCTGACGGCAACCAGGCGAAAGAGAAGTCATCTCAGGGCATTGGGAGGAAAGGAGAGCCTACAATCCAGGCTATAATTCTCTCAAAGAAAATGTCCACCACGACCTCTTATAACTTACTAGACAAGTCGAACAAAACTTTGTAAAGTCAAACGAATTCTTTTCCACGAGTTCTATAATAGCCTGAGGAGAAAAACAGACCACAAAAAATAAATTATATCAGAGAATAATAAAAGGCTCACGATAGCTGGGGCTCCTCGTTAATATTATCTGCTAAAAACTTCTTCCGCTGTTTGGTTCAGTGAAATAAAGGTTGTTATGCATTGAGTAATACCAGAATCACCATGTTTTGTTAATGTGTACGAGGTGTGGTTTTTATCCCAATGGTCTCCCAGTGGAAAATGATTATGTAAAATTTAAATTCTTGCTAACCGACAGAGGACCAGCGCAGTGTTTATGTTCAAAATTGTGTTGAGAATGTTTTCAAGAATACATGCGAGTATTCTCCTGACCAAAAGAAAAAGGTTTAATATATTTTCTCCAAGGCCGTCACTTGTCAAGCTTTCTACGATACCAAGGATAAACTTCAAGGTTGAGTAGTGGCAGTATTCACGAAGCTCTCCTATCTCTGTTTCGCTAACCTTACAAATCTCTTGTCACTGTCAGTTTTGCGCTCGTTCTCTGATCGGTTTCGAAGTTGGTAGGACTAAAATCACACCTTCGATGTCCTACCTGTCGTTGTTCAGATGTAGTCGTGTTGATATACCCCGGATCTGCCTTCCAAGACTTGTAGAAACAGTAATACAAACCAACGGTGTTGACAAAGAATGATGCTAAGATGAACGGGCTATCAACATGTAGTAAATGGTCAAGGAAAATGTCTCATAAATTCATAAATGAAGATTACGCCATTATTTGAACATAAGAACACGTTGGATAAAATGGATGTAAAGGATAGCGGTACAATCTATTTAATTGTAATGATTTTGTATAAGTCAAGTGTCGAATGCACTCTCAGGTTGCATTGGCTATGCTGATTGGTCGTGAAAACTCGTGCCATCCTCCTAACCAATCAGATGCAAAACTCTAACCACTGGTGATTTGGCTGTGTGCGTTTTCCCGCCCAGACGCCGATGACGTGCATTATCCTTTGCACTGATTGGCCGTTGTGGTTATTTTAGTCTTGGTTTTACGACAATCAAATGAAAAACGCTCTCAAATCCAATCACGTGCTTGTCATACCTGCTTCGATTAGCTTTAGCATGTCATGTGATTAGTTTTAGAACGTTAAGTGGTTGGTTTCAGTATATTAGATGACTGGTTAGGAATTTGCATCAACAACCAATACACTCATGAACGCTGCCTTTGAAACATCTGTTCTTCAGCTGTTAATCGTGTTTGATTGTTGTATATATCATCATTTTACCGTATATGCATTCATTAAATTGTTTAAAACAAATCATTTGTCAATTGGTTATCTTAGGTAATTTAGAGACTATTTGTCACGGTTAATCAAACAACTCGCAAACAGTTCACTTATCTTAATAAACTCAATTAAAGCGTTCCTCGTAGAAATTTTTGTTGTATCATCAAGTTTAATCAAACTTTTCAGTTATCAGTTCTTGATCTAAACTTCGTTTTATATTCTTTAAGTTTAACTTGTTAGTTCATGACAGGTTATCCGCTAGTATGTTAGCCGTGATTTCCCGGGTTCACTGGTATCCTTTCCTTCCCATCAATTTCCATTCCTAGGTGGAGAGAAACGATGTGAAAGCATATTTTTCTGTTATGCCGTCGATAACCCTACAGATTCTGTTAGAAAGATTCTTCGACTTTCATCAGGCGCAAAGAAAATGGATCACGGGCAGTAAAGCCATCTTTCGCAAACGAGCTTGACTTGTACGCATGTTTATTTCCAAGGTCAAATATGGCTTTACCACCCCCTCACTAATTTTGCTTTGCAATAAAAAAGAAACGGGTCTACGCTTTCGAATAAACAAATATCACTCAAAAGGATATAGGGCCAAAAAAACACAAACCAAGTGGTATACATGTAGATTTTAGTGGCTAGGTAGACACCTAAGGGTATACGACTTGCAGGGTTGCCCCCTTGGAAAATTCTGCAAACAGAAAATTGGATTAATTTAAATGTCGAAAGTAATCTGAGATTGGTATGATTTCCATTTACTTCTCTCTGTGGTCGTTCAAGAAAATCCGCGCCACGCCTTCGACTTAACCAATCAGATGCACAAGTTAGCCCAAGTGCGACTTGCTCTCTCTAACATTTGCATTGTCTGCTCGTGATATCTTCCCTTTCTTCCAATTGGCATTAAACTTTGGTTTTAGTTTCAAAAAATCTGGGCCAAAAGCGCTGTGATGCGCAAACTGAGACGTACCTACCAATGACAACAACTGCAACCGAAAATTTCAAGCTGGTAATTCAAGGAACCGTGAAATTAAGACCGACAAAGAAAAACCAAGACCGAGATCAAATTTAGCCATTGCGTTCGTGCAACGTGTCGTTAAATTACTGCGCATGTTACCCGGTGGTTATTCGTTAGTTCAATCTATGCTAATTGTTGACTTCAAGAATTAAGGCACTGACTGAAACAAATAATTCTCGAACATCTGACTCGCTGATTTAAACGTAGTAAAAAAAAAAAAAAAACTTGACTTTGTTTTAAGTTGAATGAAAACGAAATTTAAAGAAACCTTCACCCCATCTTTTTCATCATGATGAACGAAACCGAATATCTAAGATTAATTCCAACTCGTTGGGCTGGTAAATTTATTAAGGCATACGTGGACAGTGATTGTAATAATCTGGAGTTATAAGTTAGGTTTCAATCGCTTACGTCCAAGTAAGTTCAACCTTTCATACCCGTTCTGGTACAAATTAAATTGTTTAAAATATTGCTTTCAGTTGACTTTCTTTTACATCTCATTGAAAAGCAATAGACTTAAGTATCTCATACGAGTTTGCTCGTTTTACGAAGTATATAGATTTAACCGGCCTCAGTGGTTCTGCATGTACTGTGTAGCTGCTCAAGCATTTCTCTCCCTGCTTCAAAATAGTTTTAAATGGAAATTCAAAACCTTAGCAATTAGTTTTGGAAAACATGCTGTCCCTGGTAAGTATGAAATTATTAACAAAATACAAGAAATATTAATTAACTGTGCAGTAAATCATACTAGAACAATGTTGGAAAGGATATAATACAAATAGACCGTTAAAATGTTGTAGTAAAGATAAGCTTTGGTGCCCAGTGTCCAGCCAAATACAACTGTGTTACCAGCAGAATAGATTAATGTGAACCAACTGTGAGTGAATGGCAGTAATGCAAAAAAAGTATTAGCAAAAACAACTGCATCACTGCAATAACTGAAACAGTTTTAAAACAGAGTATTTTGATTACTTGGCACTATGTTCAACAGTTCAAACCAAGTTTGAGAAATGAAACTCAGAAAAAAACAGATTTAAAGTTAATCCATGTCAGGTTCAAGGGTTCAAGTGAAAGCCTCAGTTTATTTTATTTTATTTTTTTGTATAGTAACTTCCATTTAGTGACAAAGAATACTGATAAAAAGATTAAAAAAAAAGAGTACTAAATGAGGGACTAATGTACGGACTCGAAGTTCCAGTGAGGTCAGCCCCATAAAAGTTGATTATCAAATACACGTTCATGAAGGAAAGTGAACTTATACAGCAAATTAGGAATTGCTGACACCCCAAGTGTTTGGCACTAATTGTAGTAATTACATCCACCAGCTTTTCAAAATTTGCTGTAGCAGTTTATCTTCCTTCATTGACTTCCATTTGAAAATTGACTAGAAGGTGATTCAAATCAAAACTTAGCTAACACCAGCATCCTAAATTGAAGTAGCAAACTTGCTGCATATCAGATCCACACCAAGTGGTCATGTTCTATGACAAGCAGCAGCAGTTCACAAGGTGAGGCAAGAAATGCCTTCCCAGCAACCCTTGTCACCACAAGTCATTCCCCAACTGTACATCACAGTCAAATCAGAGAGTCAGTCAGTTTCACCATATAATATTAAGGCATGGAACAGATTGAACAGTACTTACTGCATTGTATAGTACCCTATCATTCCTACAGCTGATAAAAGCGGCAGAGAAATGAACCATGCCGATGAATACTCCAAAATTGCACCAATTGAAAAAATGATGAAGAAGGGCAGTCCTATTTGAACATAGCGTTGAACAGCCTAACAAGAGATTTCAACAAATACCAGGTTAGCTTTAGTATTTTCAGTTTCGTAGAGCCTAGTAAGTTACTCAATGAATGCAGTTCTTTATGCCATAGCTTTCTCAAAGAAAACTGTTTCGCTTTTGAAAAAAAAATAAGAAAATTTTAAAGAGGGCCTATTCGTATAGGTAATCACATGATTTCGAGTGCAATTTGGAATAAATAAGCACGAGTAAATTTTTTCAAAGACTAACAAAATTGCATGAGCCCGTAAGGCCAGTGCAATTTGTGGTCTTTGAAAAAATTTACAAGTGCTTATTTATTCCAAATTGCATGAGAAAATCATGCGATTATCTATTAATAATATACATGAAAAAATACGGGCTAGTTTCTCATAACTACGCAGAAGAGAGGCGCGCGCAACACGTGCAAAACTAATTTATTCAAACCCTGCAAGTGACATTGACCTTGACATCGACCTTGACATCGACCTTGACATTGACCTTGACCAATCATTCTGACCAATCAGAATGTCTGGTTTGTTTCTTTCTTTGCACTGAATTAACCCTCTTCTGTACTGAATTAACTCTCTTCTGCACAGAATTAACTGAAAACTGCATTAATCTTAACCAATCAGAACTGAGAAATTTTTTCATGTATATTACTAATTCTTAAACAGATTTTTCTGAACAGTCAGTCGTTACTAATTGTAATTTAGTGTTAAGTCCCCTCAACTGAACCACACCCACCTTGTCTCTGGTCAAAGATTGCAAAAATACTGGCTTTCCTTCTCCTTTATCTCTTCTCATTAAATCCATTTGCACCACAATCCATTTGCTTTTCTTCTGTTTTGCCAAGTCGTACGGAGACTGACCCTGCCGAGGTGTTAGTAAAAAAAAAAAATATTCAGAAGCACAGCATGGATTTAAAGAAAATCACAAAGAAGTCCTTTGAACTCCAGACTGTCCTCATCTATTTGCAATTCTTGGAAGCAGTTTAAAGTTGTTTAATAGTGGAGCTGTGAGGAAGGACTCAGAACTGAGGTACTGCATGTCAAGGTGACTTTATAAAGAAAAAGGCTAATTTAGGAATGAGAATGTGAATGATGAAAGAGAACTGTCTTGTAGATTCTCACTTTTACAGCTATGAATGAGACCAAAAAGGAAGACAAAGACTGTCTCCCAAAGATTCTTTCCAGTTACATGTAAAAGGTACACTGTTAGATTCTGTACCTCGGCATTCAAAGCATCCATGCTGGCACCAGCTTTAAGAAGTGTTCTTATCACATTGTGGTTATTAGACGTCACTGCCCAATGTAAAGCTAAGAATGAAAAACAGACAATGATTGTCACCAGGTTTGGGCTTTGTTACATAAATTGTCATTTGAAAGCCGAGGGTTACAGGTCACATTGGCTTCATAAAGGTTTAATTGCAGTTGTTGCATACCATGATGTACACCACTGTTTCTTCAGCATGTGATTCTACACACCCAAAGTTCACAGCTTAATATCAATAACCATATCTACCTAGCCTGGTTGTTCAAAGTGTGGATAGCGCTCTGCACTACATGACTGGCCACTTTCTTGTGGAAAAGTCCTCTGACTGATAAGTGCATAAATTTTGTTGTTCAAAGTTTATTGCACAAAAAGTACAGTACATAAGCCCAATTTACTAGTTAGCTTGTTGAATTATTGCAGATACTACTCAAAATTGTTTTTTTTTAATTAAAATGACTTGTCTAACACTCCTACCTGTATTTTTATGAAATTTGTCAGCTAGTGCTATTGAAGCATTCATTGTCAACAGCATTCTTGTCAGCTCTAACCTAGTGCAACACCATGAAACAATAATTATTATCTAAAACTGTAACATAAATAAATAAGGCAAACATAAAGGTACACTAATTGTTTCTGCACATTTACATCTTTCAACAGAGCTCTTCAAATTCAGACAATTCCTTAATAACACTTTCTTTTTGTGTACCTGCTTGGAGGCCTACAAAATCCACTCCACATCATTTCCAAAGGTTTGACCTAGTCCATTTGCCCTGCCTTGCATAAAACATTTTAACTCATCTTATTCTCAAGGGATACAAATTTAAAGTTACACTCACCCAAAGCATCTATAAGATGCCCACATCAAAGGTGACATTCCATTTCTATCTAGCAAATCAACATCCTGTGATAAACAAATTTAATTGCCAGTATAAGATAATCAAATATTTTTTCATGACAAAGAAAACTATCCTCACTAAGGAAAAATGTTCATTTGGAAATAGATCAATTGTTTATTATCAAAATAATACATACCATTCCTTTAGAAATCAAATAAGCCACAACTCCCATCTGACTGTTCTGTACAGCTACATGTAAACAACTACACCCTGTTAAACAAAATCAATGAATATCAATTTTCATCAAACAAATAGGTTATAAGCTCAAGATTTCTACTGCATGATAGTTGAGGTGGTTGAAGCTGAATCAAATCTCACATATCAACAGGACGAGCAAAGAATTTAATTGTTTTAGTGTAAATCTAATCTTGGTAATCTAAATAAAATGACGATGCTTTGGTCCCATCACTGAACTAAGTACATTGTAGTTTGATGAGCGTCTTGTTTCCAGGGCGAGAATAGTTCTAAATCTAATTTTTTGGTTGCGTCCACAACACTTACCTTCAATGTCAAGTGATGATGGATCAGCTCCATGCTTCATCAAAAAGACAACCATCTCAAGATGGCCTTGCCTGTGAACAAAATTGCCAATTGGAAAATAGTTATATGTGATTAAATGTGATTTAGCCATTTAAAGACACAAAAATCAGAATTTGTTACCTTTCAACCAATAAAAGCAAGACCACTAACCTAACAGCCCAATGAAGAGGTGTAGCATCCAAAATACCACCCTTCCTATCAACAATAGCTCCCTTTTTGACAAAGTACCTGTGGTAAGTGAAAACATTATGGAGGTTTGGACTAACTAATCTTTTTAAAAACACATAAAATGCTGCTTAATTTACTTATTAACAATCCTTTAATCAGTCCTGTGCAGAATTTTTAGAACCAACCTATTAATAAGAGAGTGGAGATACAAACATGTTAACAAAAGAATGAAAATGTTATCAGGCTTACTCAGCAATTCTTATTCTATTGTTGATTGCAGCCCAATGTAATGCCGAAACATTCTCCTTGTCTAAAGTATTCACATCTACTCCTTCTTTCTCAATCAGTTCAGTGCATCTGTCAAAGATGCCATACTGTGTGGCTCGCACCAGGTCAAACTGGCTGTAGTCTGGTTGGTAATATGCTCCACCATGTTGACTGTATGGATCTTCTGGTTGTGTAGGGTATGGCTTGCTTTCCATAATGGATTCCTGTACATTAAAAATAGACATGAGTAACCAGGGTTGTTGCTAAGAAATTACATGGCCCGCTGAAATTTCAAGTGACATGGCTCAAAGGTGGTGAATGATTGTAAGTGTGTAACCTTAGAAGTACCTGTTGTGCTTTACCAAGCAATCAACAGGCAAAAATTCAGCTGGCAATTACCACTTTATCATACAGCAAATTGTGCCGGCAGACACTGCTTAGTGACAACCCTGCTGAGTAGTGAAGTATTATTAACATGACATTGAAGGAGCATAATACCTAGGACACTTAAAAATGAGTTAAAATTAGACTCCATTTGCCAAAAATATGCTTGGACATCTGTCAGAAAACAATATCTGTTCTGAGAACCAAACACTTTATTTTTCTGAGGGCAAAGTGGGTGCAATAAGGGACTGATAACATACTGGGAAAATATACAAATGCATTCTTTCTCCCCTCTTGGCTGAAACAAGGATGGTGGCTTGAACCATGACAAGTCAGTTACAACTGGCCACAAAACAGGTGTGCAAAGAATGCCATTCTTAACTGTCACACATAAACTTCAACTTGCTCAGAATTATCTGAACACTCTGACTTGTTAACCCCAGCAATAATTATTACAGTAAGTATTGTTATAATTCAACAACGTTTCTTAGCCTACATGATGTGCACACTTCGAAATCAAGAGAAGTCAAATTATAGCTCATTTGAAGTAACACAAGGCTAAATTATGGAAAAGTGGAAAATTTTCACTCCTTTTACAATTTCTGTCTCGCAAATTAAACTTTGTGTAAAGCCCTGTATTCAATGCCGATCTCATCGATCGCTAAAAAAAAACGACAAACTTTCAAACAAACGCTAAAATGCTAGCACGCTGCAGTAGTTAATTTGTGTAAAATGATTCACTTTTAATTATTTGCTTAGCATGGCGTCTGCACTGATCAAATACAACCTTGAGGTTGTATTTTTACAAAAGTGAATCTATGTACGTTTCGATCTTCACTTGATGGAGAAAATTTGCACAACCATACTCTTGTAAACATCTCATTACGACATGGAGTGATTTTGAAGACAATTGAGAGCTAACTAATAACTTTGGACATGCTGGGGTATCGTGTGTTGCGTCACGCCGTTTCTCGTACAAAATGGAGGTTTAACACAATCCTTCTTAACTTAGAAGACTTAAAAAGGCCCAATAGAAGTGAATCATCTGACTTTTTTGGAAAAAGCAACCAACTGTACCTTTTTTTCCTGTTTCATCCAACCCTACCGCATTAGAACCATGGAATCAGTGCGCCATATTGGCTAACAATGTAGCTTGCTTCAAATATGGCAATGTTGACCAAATTTGGAAAATAGCGGTTGTTTTCAAAGTCTTCGATTTCCATTCGATCGGCAAGCTGTCCGTTGGTTATTTTACTTCGAATCAAAATAGAAGAATTTTTTGTTCTTAGAAACGTCAATCCACAAAATATGGAGGAAATTAGTCGAAAAGACGACCAAGAATTGCACAAACAACCACCGAAAGCGTCGATCAGGTGAATGATAGAGGAGAAACAGTTGATCAAATTTCGAAAGTTAATCATGATTCTTTTGCTTTCCCACTACCTCTATCTCTTTCATCTCTTTGCAGATCAAGTAATCCTACCTTTATGAGTCCAACAGATAATCTGTTTTCACCATGTACCCGGAAGCTCGTATCTAAAAGAGGACTGCATCATCCCAGCTTGATCTCACTGTACGTTCTTTGTTCTAAGCTTTTAGAGTATTTCCATAAGGTCGTAGTAGTAGCAAGTATGATAAAAATATTGTAAGAAATAGACAACTTTTTTGAGAGACATGTTTCGGCATGCTTATGCCATCTTCAATCAGTGAGTAACAGAACGTGAGTAATTATATAACAGACAAGTAGATGAATAAAATATTTTATTCTTACTGTAAATATTTTATTCATCTACTTGTCTGTTATATAATTACTCACGTTCTGTTACTCACTGATTGAAGATGGCATAAGCATGCCGAAACATGTCTCTCAAAAAAGTTGTCTATTTCTTACAATATTTTTATCATACTTGCTACTACTACGACCTTATGGAAATACTCTAAAAGCTTAGAACAAAGAACGTACAGTGAGATCAAGCTGGGATGATGCAGTCCTCTTTTAGATACGAGCTTCCGGGTACATGGTGAAAACAGATTATCTGTTGGACTCATAAAGGTAGGATTACTTGATCTGCAAAGAGATGAAAGAGATAGAGGTAGTGGGAAAGCAAAAGAATCATGATTAACTTTCGAAATTTGATCAACTGTTTCTCCTCTATCATTCACCTGATCGACGCTTTCGGTGGTTGTTTGTGCAATTCTTGGTCGTCTTTTCGACTAATTTCCTCCATATTTTGTGGATTGACGTTTCTAAGAACAAAAAATTCTTCTATTTTGATTCGAAGTAAAATAACCAACGGACAGCTTGCCGATCGAATGGAAATCGAAGACTTTGAAAACAACCGCTATTTTCCAAATTTGGTCAACATTGCCATATTTGAAGCAAGCTACATTGTTAGCCAATATGGCGCACTGATTCCATGGTTCTAATGCGGTAGGGTTGGATGAAACAGGAAAAAAAGGTACAGTTGGTTGCTTTTTCCAAAAAAGTCAGATGATTCACTTCTATTGGGCCTTTTTAAGTCTTCTAAGTTAAGAAGGATTGTGTTAAACCTCCATTTTGTACGAGAAACGGCGTGACGCAACACACGATACCCCAGCATGTCCAAAGTTATTAGTTAGCTCTCAATTGTCTTCAAAATCACTCCATGTCGTAATGAGATGTTTACAAGAGTATGGTTGTGCAAATTTTCTCCATCAAGTGAAGATCGAAACGTACATAGATTCACTTTTGTAAAAATACAACCTCAAGGTTGTATTTGATCAGTGCAGACGCCATGCTAAGCAAATAATTAAAAGTGAATCATTTTACACAAATTAACTACTGCAGCGTGCTAGCATTTTAGCGTTTGTTTGAAAGTTTGTCGTTTT